GTTCTGAGTACTTTAGTGAATGGTAGTCAGTAGGCGCCTCGTGGCGTGTTCAACCTCACTAATATCAGTGTGTATATTTGCTGTCTTGACGAAGGTCCCGTGGCCGAAAGCCGAGAAGAAACGGGAGACAATACAAGGTATGGCAGTCAGTCATAAAGCTAACTGCATTCACAATCATCGTTAAATACGTAATTGTAGATCGTTCTACAATTACGTATTTAACGATAACTATAGTGCTTCTTTTTCATTTATGTAAACTACTGTACTTGAACCACCAGAACAATCTGAATGCGGTAATTGTGAAAGAGCAAGGAAACAAAACTGCAAGTACTAAATGTGACCATTGAATACCTATTCAGTTACTTAAGTACTTAGTACATACACGCTCACTGATTATAGGAAATGCTGTAGCAAGGTTAGTTAACGTAACATGTAGCATTAAGTCGATGGTACGTCGATGGACGAGTACGTAGCACACTTTAGGAACTCGTACGCAGCCAATATCTGCGCGTAGATTGCGAGCTCCAGTGAAAGGCATGGGGATAGTGAACATACGAGGGGGTGATATAGTAATGAGCTTACTGTAGACACAACTTGTATTGTGCATAAGTCGACAACACCTAGTAATCCAACCTCGATAGTACTAGTATGTTTTATACCTCATGACTCATCGAGCTCTTAAATAAGCCACGGTGAAATTGTTCTACTCGTTTTAAGAGTTTGTACGATCAATAGTCAATGTAGCTATATTTGCATTCAGGCTGCATAAACTAGCGAAGGGTTGAGTGGATAAGTGTGCGTTAGAACTTGCTTTGAGTAGTGTAGTGTAATACTCAAGTACAAGGTTGGACGCATGCTGAAGTACGAAGTGGGTGTTTGATTGTATGAGGAACTACCAGGACAGACAGCTAGTACGTGCTAATCCTGCAAGCTATAGAATTTCTGAGGGGAGCATAGTAGTTGAGGGGGAGCATAGTAGCTGAGGGGGAGCATAGTAGCTGAGGGGAAGCATGGTAGCTGAGGGGAAGCATGGTAGCTGAGGGGAAGCATGGTAGCTGAGGCGGAGCATAGAAGCGGAGGGTATGAATAGTGATTATGGATAGATATGTACTTACTACTTACTACCCTGGACGATCTTGTCACCAGCAAGTGGACGACTCCAGCTTATACATTTCAACCCCTACGGTACGTGAAGCGACTTGGTGACCCAAAGGCAACTTACAGTTAAACTGTGGCTACGGTACTTTTTACCTACATCTTACTGCTGTATACAGTCACATACATCAATGGCTCCCAGCAGGAACAATATTGTCCTGCTACAGTACCAGTACTTGTAGATGGCTGCCAAGTTAAGTGAGAGAAATTAGGATTGCTGCTTGATGTGTGGTGCGACCAGCAAAAGGAATTGATTGATTTCAAGAAAAATAAAAATTTACGCAGGGCTTGGAACCAGCGACCTCTGCCACTCCAACCACAGCTTCTACCCAGTGAGCTAATCGTGCCACGGCACTAGACGCTGAATAATAAACCATTTCACGAGTTTAATGATCTACGCTTGTACTACGTAGTACTTACTATACTGGAGTACTATTCTGTGCTGGAAATTTGGCCTATTAATGGTATTTCGAAGTGTACTACGCAGTTCTACTGTTACTAACGTTAATACGATAATTCCGTCATCCACTGCAGAATCATCAACAATCGCCGTACATGAATGACTTCCACCTCGCGATAAAGATGCCCTAGCAGGAATAACTAACAGGAATAGTACATGTATGCTTACTCAGCCAAACGTTACTTAAGGGTTGGTGCGATACAATTATTTAACCAGGTTTACTTAGTGTCGACGTCTAGGGATCACCCTAATGTCATAGTGGTCGGGGTTCGATTCCCCGAACAACGATTCTTTTTCCTGAAATGTACAGCACCTTCACACGATAAAACAATATCGTGTTTTACAGTACTCCAGATTCACGTACTACAGTAGTACCTGCAACTACGTCGATAATTTTGACCACGACATAGTGAACAAACATCCACATGCAACTACGTCGGAGATTACGTCGCTTTGACAAACTCAGCCAGGGCTTTGCACACAGTTTTTCTTATCTCGATGAGCTACGCACACATTACAGCACATAATAGTGCTAGGATGAGCCAGTGGCTAATACACAACTCCCCACCCCAATCGAGCTAGCTACAGTACAGTATCAATGTGTCGATTGCAATCCTTCAAGTGGTCGCACCTTGATCCATTCGTCGACGTTGGACAGATCTGGAACGTACTAAGCCAAGTAGTCTGGTGCTAGGTCGACGGGAGCGACATTGCAGAACGCGCTGAGTTTGGCACAGTTGTCATTGGTACGACCAGAGTCAGGGCATATATTTATATCAGGGAAGACGAGGACGAGGGTGGACGTGGTGGTGTTGTCGTAGAAGAGACGTCTGTGTTGCTCCTTTGATGGGCGTGGCGTCGCCGTGGTGGGTTGGCATTGGAAGGAAGCTAATAGGACTGGAAGCAGCTCATTGTGTTCGTGTTGTTGGTGAAAGTGTATTCAAAAGTGGCTGCTACCATTGCTTGGACGTGGGAATAGCTAGCGTGCGATTGCTCAAGAAGTCTATTCACAGTTCTTGGATTGCCCTCGGGTGTATTGTCAATCAAACTGATGTCGGCACCCATCATAGTCGGAACATACAGGAAGGGAAGGAATATCACCAGCATGAGCCCGCCATCTGTGGAAAGCAGACACCCAAAAGTTGATGCTATCAGCGATGATGGGCTAACAGTAAAAATCCAAGAATGCCACGTAATTACATACTAGTACACTTTTCCACACTCGTTTAAGTGCGATTCGAACCTTATTGTGCCATGACTTCATGACTTGGGAGGGTTCTCATTTGTAAATTGCTTTCTGGACAACAATATGAGCTGTTGCCCGGCGAATTCGCTGCCTGCCAACCCCACCAAGAGCGACGCCACTCCCATCAAGGTGGGCAATACGGACGTCTTCTTCTACGACAACGCCACTTCCTCCACCCTCGTCCTCGTCTTCCCCGACGTCTTTGGCCCAGACTCTGGTCGCACCAAAGACAACTGTGTCAAACTGAGCGCTCGGTACAAGGTAGCTCTCGTCGACCTGGCGCCGGAATATGTCCCTGACTTGTCCAACGTCGGCGAATGGATCAAGGCGCGACCGTTCGAAGGACTCGTGGGCAAAATCCACGACGTGGTCGCCCACTTCAAAGCCAGCCACGGCGTCACCACGTTTGGCGCGGTGGGCTACTGCTGGGGGGCATGGGTCGTGGCCAAGTACAGTGCCGACCCATCGACGGCGCTGTCTGCGGGCGTGTCCTTCCATCCTTCTTGGGGTGCCGAGCAATTGTTCCACGGAGAAGGCAGCGGTGCCAAGATCGCCGAGAGCATCACGGTCCCGCAGTTGATTCTCGCTGCGGGCAACGACCCAGACTGGCTCAAGCCTGGAGGGGCCGTGGAGACGACGCTCGCCGCCCGAGGCATTGCCCACAAACTGCGCGAGTTTCCGCTCGTGTCCCATGGCTGGGTGAACCGGGGGGACCTGACCGACGCCAACACTGCAGAAGCCTTCCACGCGGCGTGGCACGACGAGGCGCTGCCGTTTTTGGAGCAGCATTTGACAAAGTAAATGGAACCATGAATGGGTGTGAACTTGGTTTGTGTGTATGGCTCGGAATGAATGGTGTTCAACCTGTGATTCGTACAGACCAATGTGTATTGGCTCCACTCACCTCTCGCGAGTATTTCCCTTATTTGGAGCTGCACAAACCATCACTGGATCCAAGGAAACGAACTCCCTTCTTCTCGTCATATGACACATTTGTTAAAATGTGCATACCGTACTTCGTATGTAAGAGCATCAAGTGGTACATCCTCCATCTTTCTATATTTATCACCCAAAGTGGATATATAATGTTTTGAGGTAAATTGTCAAAAGTTTGCCTCACGGAATTAATTCCTCTCAATTCAAATATATATTGTAAATGAGAGGTGTCTTGGGAACATCACAGCCATTAAACAGTGCCCGCGTTGCCGCAAGCGTCAAACTAGTACCGGTAGGCAGCCACACAGAAGCACAAAGTGAAAAACTGAGAGCTAGGAGCGTAAGCAAACAGGCAAATGAAAGCCCATTTGAGAGGACGAATGATTCACTAATATTAAGCAGGTGCATGAGAGGACAATGGAGAGCATGGACCGCAATAGAGCACTACACTCACTGTACATTAACGACACTATATTGCAGCAGTGCTGTTTATGTGCTGTATCGATACTACTTCATGTGTGTGTGTACTACTACTACATGTACGGCTTGTGTGATGATCGAGGGGTTAAGGTACCGGTAACATTACTATCGGTTGTGTGATGGTGGGGAGCGTGAATATGGCGCACAAGGTAGACTGAAGTTATCGTTGGAACTGCGTGATGCCGTCACCGCGGTCACCAAAGTAAGATGTCATGTTGTTCTCGAGAACACGGTGACGGCTCAACACAACCGCTGAGGACAGAAGACCAGGGATCACAGTCCAGGAGGCATCAGAGCCTACTATAGGAATGAATCAATGATGAAGTTGCTTGTACTATACCGCTGTTGACTGGTCGCGTTGCAGAGCGGCCATGGCCCTCGCCACTTGCACCTCGCTCGCTGGTGGCACCAATGAAATAGCCAACAAGGTCTCCTAAATTCTATAAAGACTCACCTCTATACATAACACTACCTCTAATATCAGATAATTATGTCACGAATTGCCTAAATTATCGATATCTAGAAATTTGTATGACGCTCTTAACATCCATCCACAACTTGAACTTCAGCATACAGTGAATAACCTCTTTAAATTTGTATATATTTATACACGTGGGGGCTTCTCTTAACATACGAAGTACGGTATGAACCAACGTACATACTGTGATCATCATACTATCTACTACTAGTACCACGTAGTATATACTACTACACAGTACTGTAGATACTACTAATAGTACTGTACTAGTATGTACAAAGATCTCTACGAGTTCTATACCAACTGTTAGTACTACTAGTCGAATACAGTAGTCCCCTGCAATAGGGAACCTTTGTTGGCGATATGGTTTTAGAGGTTTTCAATTTACACAAGTATAAAGTTAAAAAGGCATGTTTCATGGGTAGCTCGATTCTGATTGGACAAGATTTAACATATGGTATTGGAAAGTGCTGGGATCCAAAAATGGACATCATATTCGGAGGGGGTTGATACCTGGCAGCCTCCAGAAGACAAAACGCAAACCAACAACAATGCGCAAATTACATTCCTCAAAGGTTGTTCATACTCTCGATCAACTCATACATCTCTTCGTCCAGTATCCCGTATGGCGCCAGCAGTTAGAGTTAAGTTTAGTAGAGGTCCAGTAGGCGAGGTTTGTTGGCTGATTTATGTGACGGATGCACGTCCATGTGGTCGCTCTGGTGTTGAGCCAATGAGACATAGTGGCATAGTCGACTTTTGGGGCACACGTGACAGCCCAAACGCATGCTGAGCCCAAACTCGCAATTCAAGTCCTCTCATGCCAGGATGTACTTGTGGTGCGTCAATAGTGAGCACTTTTGCTCGACAGTGAGTCTCATGCGTGTTGAGGGTGACGGCATTTTGACAACCAAGTGCATTTTCGCAACATGTGTCGTTTGAAATTTCAATCAGCCTCTTTAAATTTATTTTGCACCATCTTGTGAAAGAATATATTTTGCGAGGATATTGATTTACTGTGGGTTCCCTATTGCGGGGGACTACTGTACACATCTAGTAATCCAACGCCACTTTGTACACGTCGTCATAGACAGTGGCAAAGTGGACGTCCAGTCCTTGCTTCAAGTAGTCTGGCAACTCTTCAAAGTCCTTTTGGTTGCCAAAGGGCAGCACGAGGGTCGTGACGCCAGACCGACGCGCGGCGATTGTCTTCTCTTTGATCCCGCCCACGGGAAGTACCTTGCCCGTCAGCGACAGCTCGCCCGTCATGGCCAGATCGGATTTCACAGGTCTACTCAACCCCATGAGTCACTCGCTAGACCATGTAACAAGAGACTTCTTACTTGTCCAATGCCAACGACAGCAGCGCAGTGACCATCGTGCAGCCAGCTGATGGACCGTCCTTGGGAGTGGCACCTTCGGGCACATGCAAGTGCAAGTCGGCTTCAAAGAAGGCATTGTCGGGCTCGAGCTAACCCACACAATCGTGTGACAAAGCCAGCAAAAACAACCATATCTCTTCTCGTCCGCATGTGCATATATATATATGGTTTGGGACTGATTGCTGATTCCAAAATGCTGTGAATCATATGTATTAATTACCTCGACACACATGTCCAACATGGACAAAAAACACCAATTTACTATTAGCCAATCATAGATATTGCACGAAATACCACCACTCAACAGTGAAACAGGACAATCAAATGGCATCGAAAACTCGATCGATTGAACATGAGCACAAAAGTCAGCGTTTGGCTTGAGAATACAAGACTACCTGTTCCAACTTGTGTCGAGCAAATGTGTGCGCAATCTTAGTGCTTTCCTCCATGACACTGCCCATCTGACCCGTGGTGACCAAACTGCCCTTGCCTCCTACGTACCATATATAAACATGAACATATTTCCATAAATCATATGATTTCCATCAAGTACGGCGACGTTTCTTAGCTAGTGACAGTACCTTTGGTTTGCACGGTCGTGGTTTCAATATACAGCGACGACCCGCCCATGGCCGTCCACGCCAGCCCCATCACGACCCCCGGCTGCAACTTGTCGTACATGCGTTCCCTACACTCTCTTGTCAGATACGTCGATATATATATATATATATATATATTGTCAAATCGATTCGAAATGATTGGAGACCATGTGGTGGGAGAATTGATTCAAGAACCGCTAAACTGAGCCAATCAAATCATGTCCTGTCGTATTTCTGCCAATCCAAACGTTTGA